GAGGCGTTAAATTTTATGTTTTCAATCTTCTCATGCGTGTCAAGAGCTATTCAGATTCAAGGACAATCCAGTCGCAACCTCATAATTTGAATTACTCACTAAGTTGGCGTGAAATTTAACGGCAAATGGATTTTACATGTTTCTTTCCTTCACCGCCCTGCTGCTATTACAGCGGATAACAAACTTTGCGCTCATCCAAGTCCATGTCGGAGGGAAACTAATGTGCGATAACTAATGTGCGATATCTAATCCTAATTGATTATGAAAATCAAAGATCAAACGAATTCTTCAATATTTTGGTGGGAACCAACAAAATAAATAAAAATAAAGACAAAAAACGGGGATGAAAACGCGTGTAAAAATATAAGCAAGAATATGATTAGTAATATGATTAGGTTTTTTCCCTTGGATCGAGTCTAGAAAAATAGCTGTTGAATTAACTGTATTTAAGAGTTATCCGACGAGGGCGAATTTTGAAAATTATTTTAGGGATTTATTCATGGTTCACAGGAAAAAAATGAGAATGAAAAAAAAAGGTAAATAATCAGTAAATAAAACAACCGGTACCTCCGGGTCAAAGTTTTTGATGCTGGATATATTCAACTACACGTGTAAATAGTTTCTTTTAGAGATTACTTTGGATTTCTTTGGAGATTACTGCTGCGACACACGACCACAAGGTGACTGGGAATTTTTAACCGCCGGTACATTCTCTTTATATCCAGCAAATGTGATTATACTCGTTGGTTGGAGTGATGGAACCGGTCATTAGGTGGATAACTCATTGGAGATCAGAAGAGGGAAAATTCTTTGAAAATTTAATCAACCCACAATTAGGAGTAATTATTCCAAGAGATCTTTATAATTTTTTAAATATTTCTAGAAAGATCAAGTGCAAAACTTGACCCACTCCTTTCATCGTCAAACGACGACGATGTTCATATTTTAATAGTTTTAAATGTCGAGGTTCTAGGATTATTAAAAAACGAATTGATGGTATCAGTTCAGTACCTCGAAAAAATATCCAATGTGCAAAGGCATGAAAGTGTCATGGACAATGTACAACTGGAAAAACCGCGATGGATTGTCGGATGCGATAATTACACTCATTTGTAAATAAAAAACCGGATGAATGTCGTGATGGTGATTTAAGAGAACAAATATATGTAGAACAGTCCATATGAATTTAAGTTATTTTTATTCCCAGCCTAAAGATGACCCAAATTTCACGACATTTGGTCCCATTTCTCCTATTGT